CACTATTTACTTTTCAAGCACCATTAATATCGTAATTTCATTTTAAAGGTTTTCTCATATTCCATCGGCCCTTTCTGGTTTATTTTCTATTTAATATCATCGACATGTCACTGAAACAGATTATGCCTTCCCTGGCCGCAAGACGAAGAACCCTAGTGAGAGTATGTAAGGAATGCTAGGAATATTTCCTGCCATTTCTCTGCGGTACTTTCAGTAGAAGCTCCGTGCGTTCCGTCATGATCCGCAGAGTCACGTTTCTGATCGTTGAAAGATTGCATATTTTTTATGTTCTCCAACTAAATATCACCAAACGGAAAACAATTTGAGTCCAGTTCCCTTAATGAACGTCGTGTTCCATTTTTAGTAATACAATTATGACCGACCCACCCCACAGGCGATGCGAATAATAACACACAGGCAGCACTTCGATAACAAGTTACGTTTATTATTACAGTTTTACAACCTTTATCTTTGTCTCCGTCTATTGCTTGTCTGCTAGACGTCTTCCCTTCCTGACGACTTCTATGTATCTGTGGATTTCTGTAAGTAAACGAAATATTTTGATTATTGAAAACAGGAGAAAATGAGAGGAAAAATTTCTCGTGCACCGTGAAAATGATTTAAAATCTATTATAGTTTTCACTGGGTTATTTTTAGAATCTGCCAACAATTAAGTTATATGACGTCAGTCTAACTTACCAATCATGTAACAAAGTTAATAGAGCCACACAGTTTGGAAATAAATTATCGAGGGATAGAAATGGTCTTTGTTTTGAAGTCCAGCAATTTTCTTCGTTAAACGTTAGAAATCATGCACCGCGGTCATGCATGACATGATTACCCGTGACCTTGAGTGTCCTTGACATGATTATTGTATAATCTGCGGCTAGATGACGTCACAGGCGCTGATTTTGAAAGTTCACTTGACGCTTTCGGCCAATTAGAAAAGAGATGGTGAATTCAATGTATAATAATTTCAATTATGATTTCTAAGGGTAATCATGTCAAGTTTGCGCGCTTTGTGTTGCTTTCCGTCAGTGAAGAAGCAAAAACATGACTTCCATTTTTTTTTTCGTTCAATGTATAATAAAACAATTATTAGATTCGGTTTTTGTGATATCCAGAATAATCAAGGTCTCCGTAAGGGTTATCAGACGAAGCCTTCGCTTCGGCTGATAACCCCTACCTCGACCTTGATTATTCTGGATATCACAAAGACCTCATCCAATAATTGTTTATAAAGCTGCGTTTTCAAATTCCTCTGTGGGCGGAGCCTGAGTCATAAAAGTGTTTCCATCGAGTCGTGTCTACATCGGGAATTCTGCAATTGGCGACGAGGATGTCTCTCAAGGTGTAAAGAAGATTTTTTCGAGGTGAGGAGTTTCAAAAATTTAGAAATTGGAGGAATTCGACCATTGATTTTCACAGTGATCCGAGTAGCGTGGGCACAGAATGAAAAAGAGGGCTTCGTTCTTTTCACTTTTATGCGGATGGGAAAAATCTGCTTATTGTTCCTGACAAAGATGAAAACAAAGTGCAGAGACGAGCGTAACCGCGTTCTCGGTCTCTCTCTCTCTCCGGTAGGGCGGCAAAGTGAGATACCCTGGGAACTAGGTTTAGACGAGCGCTCCTTCTTCATTGTGCATGCGTAGATGTCCAAGATATTTTCGATGGTGATGTAGACGTTCCTGGACACTCGCGGTTTGAAGGATTAACAGAAGGCTGAAGATGCCTGAACTAAACATTTCGTTACACAATTTAACATTCCCTACGAGCGGCAATGGCTTAGAGAAATGGTACAGGACGACAATGGGACGGTTGACAATACGCAGTGAGATTGAGGCGACTAGAGACCCAGCAGGGCCGCAGCTTGTAAATAATTATGACAAATAATTAAGTATCTAGTGTGTTAATGAAGACAACACAACACTGGGATCACGCATTATTTGACAAAAATTCCGTAAGCTGTTAATAGAACGATGTGTCTTTATCGGTTTCCCTCACTCAGAGCAGGGAAAAACGAAACCCGAGAAATGGCAGCGAAACACATGAAAACGAGGTAGTTTTCTTTGGGGAACCGCTGTGTGTTTAGCTGACCGAGGCAAGTGCCCCAGTTTGCCTCACACTGGCTATATCCCTGCCTAGATTCGAGTTCAAATATTACCTTAACTCGGCTGTTCGCCAGAGCCGCCGAAATCAATCACCTTCTCAACGTTAATCTTGGCCAAGCCCTTCTCACTGCCATGCGTGTTAGTGACGGAGCACTCGTACGAGCCCGTGTTCTCGTACGTGGCGTCTGTGATAGTGAGACGCGAGCCAATCACATCACCGTCCGCGTTCTTCAGGATGTGTTGAGACATCTTCCCGAGGAAATCGTCTGAAATATCAGTGAACAGTCATCAGGAATCTTTTACATTCAAGAATATCAAAATGTTTCGTTATTAGCCTCTCCTATTCGCCACTTTAGAAACGAGAAGAAACTTGGGGTGAGTCCCATCTCGCAGTCGTCATAATTGTCAAATTGAAGTCTCGAATTTGCTTTTCCTTGGACTTCCTTTGTTGATGTTTAAGTTGCTTTCACTGCTGCAATGACCACATTTACTTGTGTTGCTTATTGTCAGTGTACATTTCTTTTTGTTCCCTTTTTCCTGTGCATGCCGACATAACCAATTGGTGACTTATCCAAGAGGCCGGGCATTTTTGATTTAAGTCAGTGGAAGCCGCCCAACAGCAACCCCAACCTCGATTTATTTATTTATTTATTTATTTATTTAAATTTAATGGCGTACTAGATCCTTGACGCTCAAAACATTCCGAAATACTCGTTGAAAAGTTTGAATTGAACCCCTAAAGGAGAGCAATCTGGGGCGTGGCTCCAGCTCTCTTCTGCCCCTAAAAGATACCACTTAACAAAGAAAAGGCTCGTTTACCAGCCACTTTTCAAGAAGGAAGCCCGCGCTAGTAGACAGAACTCGAGAGACAGGCGGAAATCGAGCTTAAAGATGAGAATAAGAGCATTTTTTATTCTTTCTTTGATTGCGCATTAAAAAATGCTTTGACAGCTAAAAATAATCTCGTTTTGTCATGAACACCCCCAGAATCTTTGCTTTATACCCCAAAGCGAGACGTCGAGCATTCCCGACCTTTTTCATATTGGAGTTCCCCAGGACTTGTTCCTTGCTAGCAGCAGGGAGCATAAGAAGTGAAACTCAAAGCACAGGGAGCACGTTACGTCACTTACCGGGTATATCGATCAAATCTGTCCATTTGTATGTGGGTGTTGGAGTTCCACTTGCATAACAATTTACAGAAACACTTTCCTTTTCTTTTATGTTGGACACAAGTGGATCTATAGTGACTTTTGGCTTCGCTGTAAAGAAACAAAATAATTATGAACGATGAAGAAAAAAAAGAATATTAAATTGCGGGTGGCATTTGCATTGCAATGATACAAGAAAACGTGAGGAAATTTTAGAGGTAAACCCGAAATTCGTTTTCAGCTCTTCTACTGGCAACCTGTTTGAAAGTAGGAAAGAGAAAGAGTAGCTGTCATTGAGATGTTCTATTCTATCCATATTAGCTTTCTCTTACATTTCGTTATAACTTACATGGTAATTTTTTTAAAGATGTTACTGAAATATTTTCATCAGCGATTCATATCTACAACTGTGTATTAAACCAGAGTAACCCCCTTCCTCTTTATGTCAATCAAAATTTAACGTATCTCAAGTAAGACCTACAAATAATGGCGATTCAAGCAGTTTCAATCCAGTGAATCAATCAAAACTCAAAGTGGTTACACGTACCTGACGCAAAGCGCGGGAAAACGTGTGCGAGCAAGTAATAATTGGTTTTGGTTTTACTTCTGGTTGGATAAAAAAGTGGCGCCAGTTTTTTAAGCCAATCGTGTAGCGTAGTTGATGCAAAACCAATCATTTTTCGAGGAATGAAATGAAAACCGCTATATTCGAGGAAGTTGGACAATAACACCAGGGGTGGCTACCATTCGAATTCCATTGAGGGGAAAAGCGACTTCAGGTTACAAGAGCTAATTAGCACATATACGAACAGTACAATGGCCGTCTTGTTCTTGGCAAGAACCCTCTGAAACTGAGTTCAACAAATATCGATTTGACACAGGCCGGCGGCATGAACTACTCACTTCCACACTCGGCGAGTGACTTTGCACCCTTGCCAACAGTAATAGTGCCGTTTGGACATGGAATACAGCTGGTCTTCATAGCTTGATCCTGGTAATGGTCAAACGGACAGTCCGGACAGTTTGGTCCCAGACCGGTCGCCGAATACTTTCCGGGGGGACATGGAGCTAGAACAAAGTGGCAAAATATTTATGATGTCAAATGTTTCTAATTTTTTTAGGGCAGCTTAACTTGTATCGCGTACTTATTGATAAACAGCACTTTCTAATACTGATTATTTTATTCATGACAAATACCAAACCTACATGTATATGAAAAGACTGCACCTTATCACTCATTGCGTGCTAACAGAGGTTTAATCATGGTCTCTGAGCATGCAAAGAGAGAGCAATCGCTGTTATTAAAGCTAGCTCACATTCCTGTCTCGCCCACTGGTCCCGATTCTTGGCGATGACCAAAAGAGTCGCGACCTCTCAGAACGACGTTGCTCCTTCAGTCACTGTTGTAACGTACCTTTGCACTCCACGGAGGATTTTGCTCCTGGTAAGGACGAAGTACCTGGTGGACACTTTTGAGAACATTGTGTTTGTCCCTGTTGGTCGTTAAAAGTACCCACAGGACAAGGGCTGCAGTCTTTCGCGGAGGATTTGTACATGCCCTTGGGACATTTAGCTGTGGAATGTTGCAAGAGAAAGGCGTTAACCACCGGCTGTGAAAAGCCCAGATGAACCAACTTAACAGCTTGGAGATAAGCGTTTAAAACACTACGAAACCAAGCAAGCAACAGGCTTGAAGGACAAAAATACTAATATTTCCCTGTGTACAGTCCCTTAGAGAATCCACCTAAGATGTTTTGAGTCTAAATACACCATATTTTCTCCTAGGTAGAGTTGTAAATAACGAAAAGTCTGGAAGAGTTTCGGTTTAGTCTTAACGTTAACAGGTAAAAGATAAAAACTCCAAAGTTGATGGCTTTCATGAGTCGAGACAGTACAATTCGCGCTACTCGCGCAGCTTTCCTCTGAAGTCTTTGCGACATCCGGCGATGTGAATGAAAGCGTTCAGGTAATTTAGGAGCAAACCTGGAGCCTTATTCTGATTGTTCTCAACTTACTGCAGTGTAATTCGCTTCCAACAAAGTTAACCTTGGTCATTTCAATTCGGCCCTCTTCACATGGCGTGTTTGGGTCTTTCTTCACGGACACTGGAAATAAAACGACAACAACAGTCTTTTAAACACACCGTCGAATCCTTCTCGTAACCTTGGATACATTCCATTTTCCCCTTTTAACATACCCCCCCCCCCCCCC